GGGGGGGGGGGGGGGGGGGGGGGGGGGGGGGGGGGGGGGGGGGGGGGGGGGGGGGGGGGGGGGGGGCATGAAGATCAAGAGGGCTTTCCCGTTCCTTCCTCCACACACGACACACCTCTGGAGAAGGGCATGAACTGTGGAACTCCCACCTGTACATCACGGGAACGCCGCCGATGCAGGGCGTCTATACGACCGCAGATGCACATCCATTCATCCGCTAACACTACGAAAAAGAAATGTGTTCTTCCTAAAACTACTACGGTAGAGCGGAACCCCGCCGAGGGCTCGCCGTCCAAAAAAAAATGGCATCCCACACACGTTCCCACCACCGAAAGTGGCGTATCCACACGCCACGGTGCGCAGCAACAGCAGTGTCTGTGTAGACTTGAATTATCTAGTGGTGGGGAGGTGACGTGGATGCTTCTGCAACACCGCCCGCGTGGAAGGCGGCGAGTAGCCATCGCAAAGGTGTTCGACAGCCTACATAACGCAGCAAACACACAAGAAAAGAACAATTTTGTCACGCAGCAAACACACAAAAAAAAAAAAAACAATTTTGTCACTATTAGTGGCAAAAATTAAGTGTTCTCAACACCGACACACCCAGCCGAAAAGCCGGCGAGGTAAAACACTCTGCCTGCCGCCGAGCCCAACGACGAGAGAAGCCGACCCTTTTTCCGTCGAATCGCACAAAACGCTTAGCTAGGTGCAGTGTCGCGCGCGCAGCAAAGGATTCCGCTGACGGGGCGTAAAACGACGGGCCTGTTTCTTCTTCGCTCATCTTTTCAACCAACCGAAACCAAGCCCGACTAATACACATTTTTGCTTACACACAAAAACCAGCTGTCATCGTCGTCGTCGTCGTCGTCTCGTATGTAACCCACTCCTATCGTCCAAACCACCTTATTATTTTGGCAGAGGCACGGCCAAGAAAATCCTTCTGCTACAAAAACTCATCGCGTTTCAACCTCCCAAAATATTTTCCTGCTTTTTCTTCCACGTTTCCAGGGGGCAACGACGATACCGCCTCAAGCTCTTGCCATTCGATTCGATTCCACAAACAAAACGCCGTACCAAGAAACACACATGCATGTTTGGATTCCGCCTCCCCCACCTCCAAGGCGCCTCAACGCCGCTCGCCCGCCCGCC